TCAATGGATTAGCAAAAGAAAAATATCACTAGCTTGGAAAGATACGAAAACATTTCAGGAGTTGGGTAAACTAATGGTACCGTGAAAGAAAGGAAAAGACAAGAACAATTACTGAAAATCAGTTCATTACCTTCGCATTGTCTATGGATTTGGGAGCTGCTTCAACATTTCTGTAGGAGCTAATACCACTACCATGAATGCCATCAGAAACCACAGAAGGATCTATACTATTGGAAGCTTCTAAATTGTCCAGCTGTGCCTGCGTCCTGAACTCCTGAATCCTTTTTGCAAGTTTATCTTGTTCGATGTTGGCCAGTTCTTTAGATTGCTGAGCATATGTAAGAACCTTGAACAAAACAACGCCATGAAAATCCATTAATAATTACATGCAAAAGGATCTATTTTATTGGGCCAGTTGCAACAGTTCTGACAGAAAATCCATCTCTGCCATGAAAATGCTTTTACAGGAATAAATTGGAACCCATCAAAAGGATACTTGATGCGGAAACACGCCATTTTACAGGAATAAATTGAAATCCAATAATGTCCTTGTCTCTAATTATATTGACATATGACACAAGTCCTTCGCATCAGAAATTTTGAAGCTTTCGGAAGTATAGGAGCATACCTGATGAATGAATGGTTCCAACTGGCCCAATAAGTCATAGCCCTAACTCATAAATAAATAGACACTGCTTAGTCCAAATAATGGTAAAATAGAAAAACATAAAAGATTAATCACCAAATAATTCAAAAAGCATACGAGCTTAAAATATCTCAAATGGGCATCCATCAGTGAACTTATAGATTCTAAGAACTCATACTTCTTCTTTGCTTCAACGTTCATAAGTGCATTCACCTACCACCCTCAAAAACAGTACAAAATTAGTGAGCAAAAAGCCTAAAAGAGATGAGGACAGGTCAAAGCAATATAATTGTTGACCTACTAGATTAAAGCGGCTTTTCTCAAATTCTGACTTCGAATTAACGAGGTCCTGCCATAAGACTGGAAGGTCATCAATAAAATACTTCACAAATACTATTTAGAAGAAAATAAACCTTCATTCTCTGGAAACCATAGGAAACTCCAACAAGGTAATGGGGAAGATAACAATGATACACCCAAAAGTCTTCGAGCAGATATTTTAAAATCATTTCGCTCATTTTTTTTTCACTTATGTACCAAATTATTGAATATACTACTTCGAAATCAATATTCAACTTGACCAAGTCATCATGTCACTTGAAAAGATACATTTAATACTCCAAAGTTCTTAATACCAAATTGTTAAATAGTACCTTGATTGAAGATCCAAATTATATTTTGTTCATGAAAGGATTTGAAATTCAGATGACAAACTCAGAGATTGCTGGAGGGGGTATGTGAGGTTAATGTATAAAGGTGCTTTTCAAGAGGTAGCTGCTGGTGACTCAAGCTTTTAAGTTTTTGGCTTGGTGGTGGTTGTAAAGATCTCAGAGTGAAAATTTTGGTAGTAGTTGAGAAGTTTTGTTCTCTCTCTGGTGCTGTATTGGAGATTGTTGAAGCGTGGTCATCCCAATTTTAGCTTTTTGGAGGCTCTTGTTTTGGAAGGCATGCTGCACGGTCTTAAAGCATTAGTCTTCAACATTTTTTTATGGGAAACTTAGAATATGTTGATGAAGAAACTCATACAAAAGAGGGGAGTGAGATATCCCAAAGAACCAGAAGGTTACAAAAATGAAACCCAATTGGTGGTGGTTTGCACGAAGTCATAATTACATAAAATATTTGAAAGAGTGCACCAAGTAGAAGCAAAAATTTTGGTCTGATCCCAGAAGTCTTCAAGGTTGGTCTCCACCTGTTAGAAAGTACATTGAGAATGTTCGTCGTCAACATTCTACTGTTGTTGGTGGTGGTGGACTTTGCAAGTACGTGGCTCTTTTGTCATCAAATTTTTGGTGCAGTTAGAGGTGATGTTTTGTTAACGGTAGTTAGTTTTTATTTGGTGCTGGTGTAATGGTTGTTGTGGAGTATTTGATGAGTTTTTAGTTGGTCTACTTTTGTTATTATAGTTTTGGTTTGTTTTGTAAGTGGTATAAGTTGGATTTTAGTTCAAGTTGATGGGTTTTGAGTCTTGTATCTAGATAGAAGTTTTTCTTTCCTATGAAATAAAGATAATCATGTCATTTTTCATTTCATCAATTAAGAATACTGTTTTTATTTAAAATTAAATCCAGATTACAAACTCAAATGCGTTGGTTGAATAAGCCGGTTCAATTTGACGTGAAAATCCTGCGCATTTACCTTGGTTGAATAGGTCGGTTCAGTTTGTCATGACAGAATTCAACCGATTTTGTTTCTGAATGAAATTTCTTCTGTTTCTTATTATAAATAATTAATTAAAAAATGATAAAGAATTATTTAAATTTAAATTAAAAATAAAAATAAAAAACTCTTCCTGTTTGTCTTTGTAATCCTACGTTTATAAATACATAAAGTACATCAAAACAACTGAAAATTAATTTAAAGATTTAATTGCAAAAGTTAGTATATATAAATGGCCAAGAAAGTGAGAAAGCCTCCTACAGAAACTCCTAAAAACTAAATATCAACAACAAAGCATACCTCTTCCAAGCCTGCAACAATGTCTCCTCGTGTGCTCTTTTTCAATGACACAAACTTCTCCCGAGCCTAGTAATGAAGTTATGTTTCAAATGAAAGTTAAACACAGTTGCAGAATATTTACTTTCATATATATTATACACATATATTAAAGGTTTAGGGTCCATCCATTCGTAAAATTCCCACTTCGGTTTACTGGAAAAGCCACCATTAAACCAATTTTCAAAAACATGTATCATCTGGCAAGAAGGCATCAACCAAAGGGCAAGCCATGAAGGAAAGAAAGTATATACAAATTGATCCGTTCAGCACCTGATCGTACACATGCATAGCTTTATCAAAGCGTTGGCGAGAGTCCTGCAAAGTCATAAGGATATTTTAAAGACAAACTCAGTAAACTTATGAAGATGTTGGATTTATCAATATTTGTGTAAATATTAGTTATCAATATTAGTTGTCAATATTTAGTCTTTATTGTTGATATTTAGTCTTTATGGTATTTATTACTTTCCTTGTTTGTAGTAGGTCATTCTCCTATATAAGAAGACCTAAGTTACATGTTTGAATATAGCATTATATTTTTTACTCTCTCAAATTCACATGGCATCAGAGCTTTAGGAAATAAAGCCCTAATTCTAAAAAACCCTAGCCATCATCAGAAACCCTAGCCGTCACAAACAACTCACAGCATCTCCCCTCGCCGTCAGCGATCTCTTCACGGCAACTCCCGCTATCGCCATCCA